CTCTCCTCCACCTCTTCTCCTCCTCCTCTCCCTCCTCCTCCTTCCTCCTCCCTCCTCCTCCTCCTTCCTCCTCTCTTGTTTCCTGCTCCTGTTCCTCCTCTGTTCCTCTGTTCCTCTCCTGTTTCCTTTCCTCTTGCCCTCCTCCTCCTGTTCCTCCTCTCCTCCTCCTCGGTGTTCCTCCTCCTCCCCTCCTGGCCCTCCTCCTCCTCCTCCTCCCCCTGTTCCTCCTCCTCCTCCTCCTGTTCCTCCTCCTCCTCCTTGTTCCTCCTCCTCCTCCTCTTCCTCCTTTTACCCTCCTGCTCCTGTTTCTCCTCCTCCTTTTTCTCCTTTTCCTCCTTTTCCTCGTACTCCTGTTCCTCCTCCTACTCCTCCTTTTCTCCTCCTCCTTTTCCTCCTTATCCTTCTACTTCCTGTTCCTCCTCTCCTGTTCCTCCTGTTCCTCCTCCTGTTCCTCCTGTTCCTCCTGTTCCTCCTCCTTGCTCCTCGTGTTCCTCCTCCTCCTCTTTCCTGTTCTTCTCCTCCTCCTTTTCCTCCTGCTCCTGTTCCTCCTCCTCCTGTTCATCCTTCCTCCTCCTATTCCTTCTCTTCCTCCTCCCCTCTCCCATCCCCCTCTTCCTCCTCTCCTCCACCTCTCCATCCCTCCTCCTCCCCCTCCCCCTCCCTCTCCTCCTCCCTACTATACTCTCCTCCTCCTCCTCCTCTCCTCCTCCTCCTCTCCTCCTCCTCCTCCTCCTCCTCCTCCTCCTCCTCCTCCTCCTCTCCTCCTGCTCATCATCATCATCATCATCATCATTTTTTTTCTTCTTTTCATCTTTTTTCCTCCTCTTTCCTCCTTTTTTTTTTTTTTTTTTCTTTTTCTCCTCCTCCTGCTCCTTCTTTTTCTTCTCTTTCTCCTCCTCCTCCTCCTCTTCTGCCTCTTCTTCCTCCTCCTCCTCCTCCTACTCCTACTCCTCTTCCTCCTACTCCTCTTCCTCCTCCTCCTCCACCTCCATCCCCCCCTCCTCCCCCGCTCCCCCTCCTCTCCTTCCTCCTACTACTACTCCTCCTTCCTCCTCCTCCTCCTCCTCTTCCTCCTCCTCCTCCTCCTCCTTCCTCCTGCTCATCATCATCATCATCAATCATCATCATCAATCATTTTTTTCTTCTTTTCATCTTTTTTTCCTCCTCTTCCTCCTTTTTTTCTTTTTTTTTTCTTTTTCTCCTCCTCCTGCTCCTTCTTTTTCTTCTCTTTCTCCTCCTCCTCCTCCTCTTCTGCCTCTTCTTCCTCCTCCTGCCTCCTCCTACTCCTACTCCTCTTCTCCTACTCCTCTTTCCTCCTACTCCTCCTTCACCTCTTCCTACTCCTCCTCTTCCTTCTCCTCCTCCTCCTTATCTCCTCCCCCCAGCATTTTTTCTTTTGTTTGTCCTTTTTTTCAAATGCATGCAATTTCTTTAGTGTAGTTTATATCTACTTTTTATAGCAGCTTTTCGCTCCATTGCTTTGATTGTTGCACACTTCA